ACATATTGAAGTTATTTTACCGCGTTTAACTATAAGAAATATTGGAATATGTTTTTGTTATAGAAAAATAAAAATTGTTTCTACTTTAAGCAATGAGTTATAAAATATTGTATTTACAAAGCAAAAATATGATCTTTGAAATTGTTTAAAGCATTATAGATATGATTTTTTTCAGTGTTACACTATATAAGAAAAAAATTCTTTAAAAACATATGCGTCTCTAAAGAATTCTACATAAACATCTTATGAGGATGGATGAGGGCGTAAAATTACACGTTAAGCACATTCCTAATAACATTTTGTGGTCATCCATAACTCTAAATATAGATACAAAATTTGTACTTTTATTTTCCCTTGGGATCTCATCTTACATGATACAGGGGAATTTGTTTCACAGGTTTCACTGTATATGTATAGTATAAAAAAAACACATAATTAATCTATAAACAAGACCGAAGAAATATTTTTAAAGAAACTTCAGATATGAGTATAAATAAATTGTAAGAAATCTCGTTTTCTTTTAAAAAGAAAAGAAAACAAAAAACAACATTTTCAAAAAACAAAAAAATAAAACAAAGTAAAAAAACAAGGAAAAAATAAGAAAGTATAACAGAAAAAAAAATATGCTCGAATGACAAGTGAAGACCTAATTATTTCCTGATTTAAAGATAAATATAACAAATATATACATACATATATATTATTATATATATATGTATATGCATTTATAACACGAGCCATATACAAAACAGGACATTTTTATGTGTTTATTGTTTATGTTTTTGCTAGGGTAATTTTATATCCATCAAATGATTCCCTTAAGCAAAATATCCATCTTAGCTTTAATAATTTTTCATTTTCATTTTTGTTTTTCGTTTTATTTTCTGTTATTTTATGTGCTTTTTTTTATATTTTTGTGTTTAGTTAGCAATATGACCCAGAAACAGAAAAGAAACAAATACCTACTTTTTATGTTTATAAGTGTATATTTCTAAATATATCAAGGATATAGAAAATAAAAAGAAAATATTATATTTTTACAACATAAATTATATATGTATATGTGATATACAAGTATAGAGATATGTATAGGTATAATTTACATAAAATAGAAACTAGAAACCATAATATCATAATAATGTATTAATTGACATACATACGAACATAAATACAAACTATTTTATTGATATATAATATTTTACATACTACATAATGCTTATCTTAACAATGAAGTTTTTAAAGAAAATAACAATTCAGCCATTCAATTTATTATTATTGTAGGCGTCCTAATAATCGCAAAATTCAAAAGTGGTATACATAATGTACATAAATACACACATAATATAAGCATGTATATAAAATGTTATGATAAAATTTCCGCAAAATTAACATAAAAAGTGAACAACGAATATAAAAAGATGATATATTTAGATTATGTAATTAAATGTGTATGTTCATATGTAGGTATGACAAATTTAAAAAAAGTAACAACAATGTTTTAGGTAGACTTAAATATAAAGATGTGTTTACACATCAAAAAAATATTGATTATTGATTTTGATTAGTATGAGAAAATTAAGAATTTTCTATCCCATCAAACAAAATCCACTGTTGTTTATACATTAAACTTATAATTAAATTTAAATGAAATCAAACGAATTGGAAACAAACATGTTTCACGGGATTTGTTTGATTGAAAACACATAATAATATGAACATTGTCTAGGCATGAGAAATTCATCATGGATTCTGTGAATTAACATTATTCATGAAAAGTGAAATTCAAAATTATTTTTTTAGTATAAAAAAATAGTAATTTCAAAAAATAGTATTTTTATATGATAAAATATTCTTATAAAATTTTCATTTTTGAAAATTCACATAAAAATTCATACACATAATACACTGCATATACATATAATATTAAAACGCTGTCTGTCGAGAAAACAAAAATAACGATCGTGCGCGAAAATAAAATTTTATCATTCGTAATTTTTATTTTAATAAAATCTAATGGAAAAAGTTACTGTGTTACTATTTCATTATTACAAAATTTAATTATTTAATTTTCATCATACTATCATTAAATCAAACAAAATCTATGAAAAATGTTTGAAGTGAAAACGCTGACTGGTATCGCAATTATTTGGTTTTTCTTTTCATTTTGCATAAGTATTAATAATTTACAAAATCAATACAAATTAATTTTAATTATTCAACACGTATACAATTTAATTATTTAATTGATAATAATTAATAGAAATTAACAATATGCATTATTAATAATATTTAGTAATAAAATAATCATGAGATTCACAAGGTTATTTCAACGAGAATTATGGGATTCTTTAGACACTTTAAGTATCTTGAAAGCAAATTATAATTTGCCATTTATGAAATAACGTAAAGTAAAGTTGAGGTTCGAGTAGAAAAAGACAAGAAAATTGTTTTGCTTCACTTCGATACAAGAAAATATTTTAAAAAACAACTGGGCTTGTAAGAATTTTTTTGCAAATTCAAATCTTTTTTCTAATTTGAAAGACTATAATGCAAATTACTTATTAATACACTTGTTCTTCAATATTTCTTCAATAGTTCAATAGTTCTATGAGATAAAATGCAATCAAACATTTTGAATTTAACTAAAAATAAAATATTAATCATTCATTGACTGAAGTGGACATCAGAAGCAAATTTATCTCCTCGTTGAAGCAAAAATATTCAAAAATTGTACCAAAATATAAATTCATCTTAAATAGTTTTCAAGTTTTCTTTAAAAAAAAATATTATGTAATCTATGTATTATGAAAATATTTAAAAAAATCTTTATAATAAAAGCCATGTCATAATTGAGAATTTTTTTTTTTTGGATATTTATTTAAAAAATTTGAAACATCTGACAGAAATAAAGATGAATCCCAAAAGTATTTGGAACATGTTTTATTTATCATCTTCTATACACATGTACATATAATATTCCCCTATCAAAACAACATAAAATTTTTTTTTTTTGGATTTCAAGGCAAAAAAAGCCAAATGATTTGATTCTGCATACAAAAACAAACATGTGCTATAATATGTAATAAGTTGTATCAGATTTAGCATTGATACATAATACATATACACATAATATGTTATATACATTCCTATATATGTATATTCGTAAATACATATAAACATTTTTCCTTTTTTTTTAGACATTTAATATTAAGTCTATGTTGGCTTTTTATAATAAAATCTTGAATTCTATCAAAATTTAACCATTTAAAAACCTTACTGATATACTTTGATTCCTTCTGGAGACATAAAATCAAAAAAAAACAAAGGGAAAATATCATAAAATCTAACATATCTAGACAAAGAAAAATAAAAATGATGAAATAAAACAAAGTATAGACAAAAGCTGGAATTATTATCATAGATGATTAAGTCAATATTTGCTCCTATATGTATACTTAAAGATACACAATTGTATATAAATTTAATAAGATGATTTGTTTAAAGACTCTTTTGTGAAATATTATACATAGACAACATGGAATATAGAATTGAGAAATTGATAAAAATTTATTTACAAAGTCTATACTCTTACCAAATCAAATTTAAAATTAATTTCTCATAATATGAATGCGATTTAATACCAAAATAATAATATGGAAAACAAAAAAAAAATATAAAAGTATTATTTAAATAATCAAAACAAAAGAAACTCCAGAAAGCTACATTATTACAAAGTATGCACTATTCTTCAAACTAAAGGCACATTCATATTAATTTTTAATGTCAGTTAAAAGGGTATCTCTTTCGCCTATTTTACTTCCTACGGCCATATTCTAAAAAATATTGGAACATTATGATCTTAGTCCTTCTAGGAACGTAATATAATTTTCCTATTATTTAGCTTGTGTTCGGAAATACGAAGCAATGATTGTATGAATTGCGTTTATTTTAAATATTCGCCACTTATTCAATAATTATTGTTTACAAAAGCTATGTAAAATACGATGTAAACTCGTATGTGGACTATGTCTATTAACTATGTATATCAGAACTTTTTATAAAAAGTATTGGTTTCATTAATGTGTTTCTTTGACTTAAACGGCACTATAAAATTTTTGTTTTTAGATCTCTTTCTTATAATTATTAAAGCGCCGTATTATCGCCCATTTTACCTTACAACGTCAATTCCAAAATATTTCAATTGATTTAATACGAAAGCGTTTGAAAAAATTATATTTATTAAATAATGCTTCAAGAATTTTCTAAACTGGTCAAACCATTTGAACAAAAAATTTGGTGAATAAATAAAAAAATCAGTGAACAACAACCAACATACAAGTGAAATCTAGCACCTATATCTTTAAAATTACAAGTATATTTGCATACACATAATTGAACAGCCATTCTTTACATTCATACATACGTATGTGCATGGTATACAGTATATAAATTGAAAAGAATCGTTCATTTTATTCAAATTGAAGTGAAAAACTAAAAACAACAACAATCAGAACGAATCCTTAACAAAAAAAAAAAAAAAAACAATTTTTTTTTTCTTACAAAAACAATTATTTGCCTCCATATATTCTTCATAAAATTAAGGAAAAAGTTTTTGTTTTTTTTTTTTGTTGTCTTTTCTTAAAGATTCAAATTCATATTTTAAGGACACGCAAAATAGAAATAAGAGAAAAAAAATCAACTTATATAACTTTTTTTTTTATTTTCTTCCCGTTTTAATATCTCTTTCACCTGGCAAAAAATATTATTATGACCGACAGACATTCTGGCATTCAAAAAGCCATAATTAAAACTTTACTGAAAAATAAAACCCTTATTGTTTTCTAAGGAATTTCTTTCATTTCTACTTTGTGTTGTTTTCCTTTATTTGTTTTTATTTTTTTCGTTTTCTTTTAGCCTTGTTTACCTTATTTGTTTAATTTTTTTTTTCTCATCATATTTTTCTTATTAACAATTTAATATTATTCATATATAAAACTTACCTGAGCTGATACTCTCCCACTTCGTAACCTTTGTAAATCTGTATGACTCCACTGACTTTTGGCCCAAGGCGTAACATTTCTAAGATCTTCATCAAAACTGAGTAGAATAGAATATATAGAGAGAATAACGGTTGATGATTATAAAACAGCATAACAGCAACAAAAGAAAAAAACAAATATAGAAAATAAAAGAGAAGAGAAAAAAATATAAGAATAAGAAAAGCAAATATAATGAGAATATTATTTTTATTTTTTTTTTTTGAATACAAAGTTTCAAAGGAACAACTTAATTTCTCTTCATGGTAAAGAAATAATCCAGTATACAAATATAAACAGCAAGAAAAAAAAATTAAAATGAAAAAATAAAAGTAAAGTTTGCCTTAGTATTCCTCAATTCCCACACCAATGCTTTTTGGGTTTTAGGGTTACTTTTTTTTCATCTTCATTTATTTTTCTATTGCTATATATGTACCTACACTCTTTTATAACATTTTTGTTATTTTTACACCTTTATATATATTATAACTGACATTATAAAAATACCATTAAAAGTTAATTAACTCTTATTAAATGAAAATATGAAATTGGACGCTCAAATATAGTTAGACTGAAGTTTTTGAAAAGAAAAATCTACTTTATGATTTCAAAATGAATTAAAATTGAGGTAAATTACTAATATTGCATGCAAGTAAGCTCACTAAATATACGCTTACAGGGTATGTGTTTGTGTTCAATTGGAAATTATGTAAAATATTTATTATTTCTTTCGATATCAATCCGTTTACATAAGAATTTACATATAGAATTTAATTGCATATTGAGTTTGTTTGGTAAAATATAATAAAATTTTTCAAAGAAATTCAGGAAAATATTGTTCCAATTTTTATATGTTTCAAAAATTTCGATCTCTTTTTTCTTTCTTTTTTCAACTGCATAGAAAATTGTTATATATTTTTTTTTATTTTAGTCCTGCACATATGTCTTTGATTCTTTGCAAATATACAATAAAATATTTTTTGATGAAAAATTTTGCATGAAATTTAAAGGTTTCTTGAATTGAAAAGTTGTGTTAAAAATCCTTCGTTAACTTTAGTGTCGTGAACTTTTAATTTTCCTAAAGTTAAACTTCAACACCGAGATTTCTAAAAATTCTGTGATGAAACTTCCTAAATCTAACAAGTGGAGACTTACAACAATTTAATAGCTTAATTAAAGCGTTTTTGAATGAAAAGATGACTAAATTTGATAAGCGTAATTTAACTAAAAACTTATTCAATCAAAAATTTTACAAAAAATGTTTCAATAACGAATTTAATTAGTTTTGTAAAACTAATATCAAAATCAATCAAGGCAAAAATTACTTAATAATCAAATTATTATACAAAAATAAAAAAAAATGATTCTATATACAAGACTTACTTGAAATCATTTAATTTATTATGTAAGAATTTCCTTATATTCCAAGGTAAATCATTATGCCCATCAATTAAAGGCACTGTTTCTAATATTTGTGTTGCTATTTGCAAACGTTCTTCAAATGGGGCGCCTGAAGCAAAAAAAATTTAAATTAATTGCAAATTTAAAAAAACAATTCAAAAATATTGTGAGTTTTTATTCTAAATTTTTATTATTTATATTGATTACTTACTTGCAGCAACACGTAAGGCCAATGGAACAGCTACACTTGCAGCACCAATCAATAAAAGTAATGAACTAACTGCAAGCCAATGTTTTGCAAAATCGAATTCTATAAAAATAAAAAGGTAAAAATTAATTCAGATTTAGCTGCTGTATGTTACGAAAAACATTTCTAAAGGTAAAGTTTAGTACTACAGAATTCATACATATATATAGCAGGGTTTGGAAATCAATCTAAAAACTAATTTTAAAAAAAGGCAGTTTATTTCATCAAAATTTATTGAACACGAAAATAATTTTACTTACTCAACGAATTTGTTGCAGAACTAGATGAACCTCTTGAAGGACATTGTCTATGTTTCCATGGCATTAAACTTGAACCAGAATCTCCACTTAAACCTGCACTTGATCCCTTTAAATTGCTGCAATTTGAATGTTGATGTATTTGATCTTTACCACTAACACCCTTAAGGCCACTATTTCCGCTACCGATTGTAGTAAATGAACAACTAATTAAAGAATTATCAAAACTACAACTTAGTCCACCGTTGACAGTTGTTGTGCTCGTACTAATTCCAGTATTTCCAGTATTTCCAAAATTAGTTAAACGTGTTGCTCCAGGTGTTCTAAATTGTGTATAAGGTAAAATAGTTGCCCCAAAATCATGATAATTGTGATTATGAGAATGTTGATGAGCATTAGCATCAATATTTCTAACATCAAATGAACCATGTGAATGATTGCCATCTGTTCCAGTACCAGTAAATGCAAAATTAGTCAAGGATTGTGAAAAATATCTTCCATTTATTAAATTTGTTCCACCATTACAAATTGCTTCACTAATACCACTCTTTGTTTGATGAGATTGTAAATGTGGAAAATCACAAAAATCATTTGTTTGATGATGATTAGCTAATTGTTTAGCGTAACAATTACTTGGTCCAATAGTATTATATTTACCGTTAGTTCCAACACCGAAATTATTTTGTATTGATGGTCGATTATCGAAATTCGGTTTGTATTGAGGCGGTTCTTGATGATAAAAGAAAACCGACTCTTCAGCATTTATACCGATCGGGTTTTTAATACTATTACTACTTTTAAAACACGGTAAGTATGAATCGTCACGTATAAAAGGATATGGTGTTAACGGAATATTTTCAGCATTCGAACGTTTCATATTGCCATTGTTATCCGATAATAACATATGTTGTTTCTGTTGATTATGTAAATTATGTTGTTGATGTTTTTGTTGTTCTAAAATTCCAAGCCTTCGTTTATCTGCTGTATTTAATATATTTAATTTACCACTATTATTACCCATTTGACATAAATCTGGTTTATTTGAGTTATTACATTGAGCATTTGTTGCAGTTGTTCCTTGTGCTGCTGATTGAGATGATGATGTTGATGCAATTGCTGATGCAACCATAAGTTGTCCAACATTAGCGCAATTTAATATCGTTGAAGTACAATCATTTAGCATTTGTTCACCTATATTACAACCTAAATTGCTAGCTATTGTATTAGTGGTCGATTTAAAACAATTGCTACTGTTACTGTTATTATTATTGTTATTGTTACCACTACTATTATTATTATTTGTATTGTTATTACTATTATTGTTGTCATTATTATTGTTATTATTATTATTACTATTATTTGTGCTACCACTAATATTAAAAGAAACAGTATTTGTTGTTGCATGATGATGATGTTGATGATTTGAATTTTGTAGTTGAGATTGAAATGGTTGTTTTTTCGTTAACATTGATGTTGTTGGAGCTGTAGTTGTTTGTGCAGCAAAACTATCAATAAAGTTATCTTGAAGCTGTTTAAATGACAATTTTCGACCAGAAGGGGGAGGTGGTGGAGGTGGTATATCAACATCAGTTGCCGAATCACTCTGCAAATATATCAAAAAGTCATATTATTTTCAAATTACATACATACATACTTATTTTAGAAAAATTTTTCATTGAAAACTCAAATTTGTAAAAAAATGTACTTAATGATTCTTTTTTGTTTACCGCTAATATTATATAACAACCGTACACATTCATACATAAAAAGCAAAACTACGAAATAAAAATTTTACGTTTGTATTTGTTTACATAAAATGATTGGTGAATTGTAATAAAAAAAAAAGAGAAAATAGAAAAATGAGATTCTTTTTGTTTCATTGTTTTTTTATTTTTAATTAAAATTTAAATAATAAATGAATATTCTTCTGTTTTGTGATATTTTTTTTTCTCTCTTTTTCAATGAAATTAAAGTTTTACGATTCATATAATCATTAAAAATTCTGTCAGGATTTTTATTCCTTCAAAATAACAAAACAAAAACATTAAAATAAAAAAGTTTAATGGTATGAGAAAGAGGCGAAATTTTTATAGAGTAAAAAAAAAAGAGAAATAATTTTGGAATGTCGCATTTAAGGGGTAATGATTGCGTTGATTATGATGAGATAATTTATTGATCACAGGATAAAATAAAAACTTGAAACGATAATATATATATATATATATATATTTATTTGTATAAGTACTTGAAATTTTATTATAAAAACAATTTCAGTTGAAGAAACAATAAAAAGACAGTAAATTTACATAGAAATATCTTCGATCCACACAAAATGAGAATAAGGTATAATTATAAAATTGTTTGTTGTCGTTCCTTTTATAAAAATACGCAACACTTCAGACTACTTCTAGTAGTTAAAAAAATTGTTTCTAAATGATAGTTTGTAATTTAAAGGTTATTTTCTGTATAAAAGTAGAAAACTTTATGCTAGAATAAAACTTCATAACTACTTCTTTTAACTTTGTATATAGCGATATGCAATTGAAAGTTATAAATTTAGAGTGCTAATTCTAAATCGAACACTATATAATTTTGAAAATATTATTCGCCATTTTATATCAAAGAACAATGATTTCAATTAAAAATTTCTTTTCTTTATCAAGAAGTGATAAAAAATTGTGTACTACACTAAAAAAATTTTTTTTTGTAATTTCTTTTGATTTATAACGGTTTTTTTTACGATTCGGAATATCTTCGCAAATAATCGAAAAAAAAAGTTATTTTTTTAATTTAAAGTGTACGACGATATTTAAAATATTTCATTTTATAAAAATATATTACTCGTATTTCATTCGCAAATAAATTACTATATTGAGAGGTACATGCATACAAACATATACATATGTATATGTATACATACATTATATATAGATTAATATTAAGGAATAAAATAGTTTTCGTGTACATATTTATTCCTATGTTTATAAAAAAATTTAATGAAAAATCACGTTTCAAAATGAAACGGAAATACTATAAAATACTTTTGCTGCATGATAAATTTAAATATTGGTGCATTATTGAAAGATTAAATATTTTTTTAAGATTTTCAATATTAAGATTCAAGAAAATTTTATATCTGAGTTTAAAATATTATTTAACATTATTTCAGAAAACAATTATTAAAAATTTTCAGTTTTATTTTCCTTCTTATATGAATACATGACTGGGAAACTAAAAGACTATTAAAATTTTACTATATAAATAATAAATAATATGATAAAAAATCAAATGTTTCGAGAATTTGACAGTAGTTTCTGAACGCTCAATAAACTTAGCCCAAGACAATAGCGACGATGGACAGCCAGTATCGAGCAGTCGCAGAGAATGTGACACGTCATCGCCCCCACAAAATCTGCAGAAGAGGGAGCCCGATTTCTCCAGTTTATTCAGGTGATACCTTACTGGACAATGTTCAGTAAATATATTCGCAATAGCACGAACCAGATTTCTATCCATCCTCAACAACTTCGCAGTTAACTTTACGGAGCTCCGACAGCGTGCAAAAAGGCAGCAGCCACACAAAGTCAGTCACAGATGCCTTCTGTGAAGGTTGCATATAAAAAGTAAATATTATCTTTATACTATCACCGCTTGTATGTTCTTATTTGTATTGCAGCCTTTGTACCTTTATACCTCAAGTAAAACGTTTGGCACAAAATGTTTATAATATTTGAGTTTAATTTATGGATATTCAATTTGTTAACCAAGTTTTGGTTTGAGTTAGCCGAGACAAGTAAGAGTTACGGACTTGGTGTAGAAACATAAACCCAGTAAAAAAATTATTTGTATAAAAATAAATAAATTGTAGAAAAAATTAATAATTTTTTTGAGTAAATTGGGTCTACGGAAGTATTTTGACATTTTATTCTTTTAGAATTACATAGAAAATGACAGAAACACGAGTTTCACGAAGGTACTGTTTAGAATTTTTATATAAGCATCTTAAAAAAATTACCTAAAGAAAACTGTAGAATTTTAATGAATAGTGTATAATTTTATTAAATAGTGTGTTTAACCCAATTCTGAACGTGACTTAATGCTATATTAAGTTTAAAATAAGTTAAAGGAAGATCTGAACTACAAGAACTGAAAATATAAAAATAATATCAATGTACAGACTTATAGAGCCCCATAACCTATTATAGGTCCTATGCAAATTATGCAGAATATGTTTTAATCAGCGTTTAAAACTCCAATCTCTCCTAAAATATGAGTAAAAAAAAAATTCTTCTTATCATAACTTTCTTCTCATCACATCCTTATGTACACTTCTGTCATTATTTACCATTATTATACACAAAAATAATTAGCATAAAGCAAATCGTTAAAATCGTAAATAAAAGAATAGTAATTTAGGCTTATAATTACTAATGATGAAAATTTGTATTAGATATTTATGATATTATTAAATATATATGTATATATATACAAGATATTCTAAATATTTATACATATACAATTTGATGCAAGTAATAAAGGATGAAAAAGAAGAAAATAGGAAAAAATCATTTCTGAAGTTTCAAAAGGAATAAAAGAATCTTTATTATGCATACATAGAAAAACCAAAAAAAAATATGAATATTATATAATATGGTTTTTATTTTGCATCTTTTATTCCATACTTTCAAATAACTTAAGTATCTAAAGTATCTTTAAAGTATAAGGAGTATTTTTTTTTTCCTTGTCTTTTTTTGTTTTGTGTGTGTTTGTATTGAGTTAATGATCTGAACAAAAATAATGTATAACAAGTAAGGAGCATTTAATGAATTCAAAAATGAAAACACAAAAAATACAACAGCTAAGTAAAGTATGTTAAATATAAAGAAAAACTTTTTCCATTACCTTGTGTAAATTTACACAGATAAACAATAAGACATAGTCCTATACTGAATTCACATAAATATTGTATAGATATATTGTAAAAGAAAAGCATCTAATATCCCTAACTTTTTTTTTTACCTCAATTCTTAATGAGTTGTAGGGCCAAATAAAAAGTTCAGTTTATAAAAGAAAACAAAAAAAAATTATAAAACAAAAAGTAAAAAATAATGAGGTTTCTGTTTTTCTTCTCATTTTTGTTTTTTTTTTGAATATTTGAATTACGAATCATTAGCAATATGTCCTGCTTTCAATAAATTTTATAGTAGGTAGTTATGTAAAAAAAAATTAAAAAGAGAAAAGGGTCTTGTTTTCAAATAAAATAGAAAAGAAATTACTTTTAGACAGACCTTCCCAAACAGAAAATTCTATTAAAATATGCACTTTTTATTTTTCTAAAAAAAAATTCAAAAAGGAAAATTATTAAAACAAAAAAAAATTTCCTTTAAATTCAAATTGTTTAATATTAAAATTGTTAATTTTTATGTTTAACGCGTGTGCTCTTTTCCTTATTTTGAAATTAATAAAAATTTGTATTATGTAGGAGCATAATGGTGATGAAAGCTATACTTCCTTACATCTTAATTTTTACATAAAGGTTTATAATATTTTCAATTCACATAATATGTAATTTTTTTACTACTTTTAAAAGTTTTATTTTATTTTCCTATTATTTTTTTAAAAAAACATGTTATCAGAATAAAAGGGCTTCCTATATAAACTAGATTTCTATTAGTTGAATGAATAAACTATAAAACTTATTTTATCAACTCCGTAATACGAATATACGTTACGAATGGCGGGATACGAATACGTTAGAAAGGCGGGAGTTATGCAATAAGAGCACATATTAATTTGACTACTTTTAGCAAAATAGTGTTGAATAATTTTTTTTGAAAATTATATTTTAGGTGACATTTAAATTTAATCGCCTTCGACCGATTTTTTTGAAGACTCACAACGAGTTTTATTACTATGGGTTTATTTAATATACTAACCGTTTTCTCTTCTGATATCCCAAAATACTACTGTAAGCTACATTCAGAATGAGAAAGCCTGATTGAAAATATAGTAGTATACTGTACTACTGAATGAATAAATATTTTACTTTTTTACATTTTTTGTTTTTGTTTAAATCAATTAAAATTAACTTTTAAATTAACAACCATTGAAAGTCAATCATTTTATAACTGGAACAATTTTAAATTAAAATAATAAATAAATGTATAATAACATGTTCTGAACACAAACCAAAAAAAAATTTAAATAAAATATTTTGTGAATTTGACGAGGGTTTGAAATTTCTAATTTTTATTCCAACCACCAGCTTAAACACATAAATGCAAAATTCTATATACCTACTCTTTCAATAATAAGTAATAGATTAATATTTTTTATTCCTAAAATGAATAAAAGTTACTTACTCATCTAAAATTTAAAAAAAAAGACCAATGCAGTACTTTGCGATTTTCTATTTTATTTTTACCCCTTTATTTATAATAAAGGTAAATGAAAATTTACACAATGAGAGGTCATCGACGATACTTATTATAAACCTTACGATTGCATTTAAAATACCTCTAATTAAACAGTAATTATTATTGGAATTTAAATTGTAAATCAATTTTTGCAAGAGTTATTTATCGAGGTTCATTTAAAATTATTATTTAAATGATCCAAAGCGAAAGCATTTAATAAAAAATACAACCGAACATATGAAACAGCCCTATGAAACAGCGAATTTTTGAACATATCAAAGCCTTATGAAACAGCGAATTTTGTCCTATTAATTTGTAAAAAATAAATAATTTTTTTAAAATTCAACTAGCATATTTTGACAAATGCATTTTCAAGGGAATAACAAATGAAAGAATTACATCGAGATGAGTAATCAGGTAACTGAAAGCTTAAATTTACATTTTTATTAAATTAAAAATAAAAGATAAGAGGATTACGCCAAATATTACGCCGAAAACCCAACGTAAAATATCCTTTAGTTTAATACCGTAATTCGATACACTGAAAATCAACAATCATGCCTTTTAGTAGAAAAGGAAAGCTGATACCTTTAGATTTAAACAGTGTAAAAATGACTTGGGTATTTTCAATATGTCATAACAATATGAACTAAACCCACAGGAGGTTGCGATATTGAAATTATATTATAGTTTTTTTAAGCAAACGGGTGATATTAATTCTGTTAGTTGATATTCGGTATAATTTTGATTGAATTTTTGAATTGATACTTCAAGAAACAAGTTGAATATTTTTTAATAAAAAATTGTTCAAACTAAATGCAATCACTTACAAAGGTAAGAGAAATCATTTAATTGTAAAAAAATTTGTCAATGTTTGATAATATGAAAAAATTTTTAACTTAAGATAATAAGACTTCAAATTTCCTGAGCAAGTACACAAGTTTTCTTAAAAAACTTAAAAGACGAATTCATTTATCTTGCTGCAATCTCAACTAAACTGCCAAACTTTGCAATTCAACTTGATGTGGCATCTTACCGAAAATATGCACTTAGTTATCTACTCTTCTTTTCAATATTATTGGACTCACATAAGTTTCTTTACTAACATTTTGACCAGTTACTAAAATTTAATATTAAATATCCAAGGTATGTTAATCCCTTTAAAGCACCTTTCTATCATTTGACACTTTTTCTTTTATTACACTTTTCTCTTCCCTTCCAACATATTTATTATAATTTTAGGAAGTACTTCATAAACAAAAAAAAAAACTAATTCAAAAACTATAAAAAGCTCAAAGGATAAAATTATTAAAAAGACAATACTAAAAAATGTTATAAAAAATCGCAGCAACAAAATGACAGTAAAAAATGGTTTTTATGAGCAAATATAACAAAGCTCTATACCAATATAATAAAATTAATATATAAGTACACTTGAACATATAAAAATTTCATATGTATACAAATTTATACAAACATATATAATCCATTCACACTATTATAATATAAATCGCATATTTAAAGTTTATTACCTCAATACTATTATTCAAATCTGGATAATCAAATGATGTTTCATCACAGGAGCTATTCTGCGGCATATTTCCTTCATTCGCCAACTATTTTGCATATATTTTTGTGATTATTACGAAGGTTACATTGAAACGGTGGAAAAGAGAATAATAAAAAGAAAAAAAAAATATATTATTAATACTTATACAAAATGAAAGTTTAAATTAATCATGCATAAGTGCATATGCACTTGTATATACTATATACATAATTATATAAATAAAATGTGCACCATATATATTAGCATAGTATAAAGTTAACATAATGCCAGCTAATCCACAAAATAATTTGTTTATTATGTTTAATGTCACACACGTACATAATTTAAATTTGATTGTAATTATGGTCACACTCTTTCTCGTCTAGGTGAGAAGAAAGTGAGTGAGGATCATATTGTAACATATTTGTATATATATTAATTTTTAAGTAAGAAGAACTTTTTCGCATCCAACGCAATTTTTTTTTCAAATTTTATAGTCACCGTTTTTGAAGCTAATAAGTTCAGTCAACAAGCGAAGAGGCTTTTATATACTAAAAATAAGATTTCCTTCCTTTCGTCGTATAAAATTGAAAACAAAATAGCTTTTTTCGCGTTGAAATTTCAAAGTTCATATATAGAATACACATAATTAAATGAGACTGTCCAAAATCAAGCAAAATGACCGCCGCGAATTTCACCTCTGGCGGTAAAATAGGCTGAGTTCCTATTCTACCGCTGCCGATTACCGTTAACATTATGTGTTTCCATGAGTGAGTGACGTTATATGTGAAAATACTTTTTATTTGATTTTATCGTTCCGGTCTTTTTATAGGTTAACAACAGAAATCGTTCACCGTTGCCGCTCACTGCTTTAGTTCTATTATAAATTTATGTTATAATGTGCCAAAAATTTCAAAGACTTTAAAAAACCAAAAATATAAAAAGGTTTATTTTGATCATGATCAAAGTTGAAAACACCTGCATTGTATATTAATATAGAAAATTTCAATAATTTATATTGAAGTACAAAATCGTATCCGAAGTTTCATATCTTGAGCAGGACCAGTTTTCAAAAAAAAAAATCTTGAAAAATTTTTGTGGACCACATTTTTCTTTGCCTTTTTTTAAATATTTTCTTTTAAAGAACGTTTTTTTGTCGCTAATATTGTCCATACCGACCTACATGCACACTTAATATTCGAAAAATTACAGTTTCTTACCTTATACATACTAGTTTAAAAATCAATGGGAAAATTCCTAGTTATACTTGACCAAATTCAGACACAATAAATTAAAAGAAACTACAATTCAATTAGAATTAAAACAGTTCTACTAAATATATTTTTTGTACTCTATTTATTTGCCTCCTAAATAAATTTATATTGTGTTACAAAATCTTCACATAATTTTATTGAATAAAACTTTTAATGAATAAATTGTGATCATGAGTACAAATTCTAACTATAATGAACAAATACTACTTATATTCTTGTCTTCCTGTTAGAAAAGAAATACATGACGTGTATATAGTTAAAAGTTTTTCAATCCAAAACTGACAAAAACAATATTTAATTACCCACAATGTACAAAAGTACGGTTTCTTCAAAAAACTTTTCATTATCTTATTTCATATTGATTATGAAAATTTTAATATTTCAATATTGTTAAACAATAAAAAAGATTCTTTATGAATTTTGGTATAAATTATTAATATAACAGTTAAATTTATTTAATCTTCGACTTTTCTAGACATAAGGTTCATTTTTCTAGACATGAGGTTATGAATTTTTCTTATTCTTCCACGAAAATCTTAAGTTTCTTTTCGGCAAATATTTAAAATATTTTCTCTTATTTAAACTAAAATTCGCTTTAAATACAATTTAAAATTATTTAATATTAATTTAACAAAATTTTTGAGTAGGTGCATATACCAAAAGTCAAAGACTGCATATACATGGGTTTAACACAAAAATTAAATATTCCTTTCGAAAATTTAATTTTCCAGATGCAAAGAAAACTTTTTTAATTATTTCATTAAAGTTTGAACTTTTGAAGACTGCATTCTATATTATATTATATAAACCTATATAATACACAGGAGTTGTGTATTGGTATACATTGGAAAGAGAGGGCCTTATCTATTATACTACATCTAGTTTTTATATATTTTTTTATTTATTTGGCAACTCTAGCACTGATATTTTTGTGTACAATTATACATCACGAATTTATCACGTATATATGTACATATTTATATTTTTTCACATTGCTGATAACTTAAAATATAGTTAAAACATAACAAGTTGATGAAAAAAGTTGTAAAAAAATTTTTATAGTAAAAATGAAACAATAAAAATATCAAATATGATCTAGGTCTTATATACACTCGTAAGTCATATAGTATAAGAGTGTGTATATAATAGAAGTCAATTTAGTTTAATGCACCACATTTAATCTTTTTTATGTGAATATGCTTATAACTATATATAAATGTATGCAAAGTACGTATATATAAATCATCCTTTACCTCTTGAATTCATATACAAATTCTAGGCAATTAATTATACAAGTATAGTGGATGATTTGTAACAGAATTATCATGACGTCAAAATAAAAAACTTGATAGTTTTTTTCACTATAGAATATTTCAGTTTATTTTCGTATATGAGTAAGTTTATGTTAGTACAATATTTGTAAGTAAGTATATATTATATACATAGTTCAAAAATCTACCCGTATATAATATCTACATTTAACCCATAAACAACCCATCGGATGGAGTGAATTTGTATTGTTTTTTTGCAATAACAATAATATTTTTTCTTATATAACAATTTCATGGAATAGGTATAAAGATTTACCTATTTGAAGACTTAAAATAAAGATCAAGTATAGAATATTATTTTAATATTGAAAGTGTTCATATACATCATTATGAATTATAATATTCTTAATTAAGCAAATTATATAGGATATTGTACAATATATTAAATTATTTGTTATTGTTTATATAAACGCAAAGAAGAGATGAACCCTAATATTAAAATAATAACATCATTGTATAAGTATTTACTTATGAATCATATATAAATTCATTTTATGTATAGAACGAAATACAGAAAAACATTTAATAGGAAATCTATGTAGGGCCGAGTTACTTCAAATTAAATAGATTTATATAGAAAAATAATAAACATTATATATAATGTAAAAGTTAATAATTAATTTGCTCCCCATAATGTTCTAGAAAATTTCTCAGAAAAATATTGAAATAATATTTTCATATAAGAAAAAAAATCGTAGTTTTATCTATTAAAATTAGAAGATAAGGTTCAATAGTACTTTAATTTATACATCTGCCTATTGCTGTTCTTGCAAATCATTTCAATTTAGATTTAACAAAAAAAAATGGAAAATCTTTATTAACTAGTTACATGGTATACGCACAATAACAATTATAATTAATATTAATATTGTAAAGTTGTATTATTTTAAGAATTAATTATAATATCAAGTATAAATTCTCCAATCAACAAGATGACGGTACAAGTGTTACTGGCGAGAATCCCTTAAAACATTACTGCTTTTAATTAATTCATAAACAAATTAAAAGTTTACATAAGTTTTGTACTTCCAATAAAACAATATATACAATTAGAGACCATTCAAGAATTTAATCGAGTGCTTTTTCATAATAATAATCATATAGTAATCATGTAGGTAGTGTTTTCTTACACTCGCATATTGCATACATTCAGGATGAAAATAATAAGGAGCAACATATCAGTCTTATTATATCAGTCAAATAATATAATCAAATTTTCTTAAACGAAGACATTTTAATGCTATATTTCTAGTTTTAAAGGAGTTTTATAGATCGTACATGGTTACTTGAAACTAAAATGTTTCTAATTTTTGCAGGCGAAAATTCTCTACAGAGAAATAACTTTTTCATAATGATTTATAAAATCTGTAGCTTTAAGGTGGAAAAATTTTGTTAACAGGCACTTGAACTGCAATATTAGGATTAAAATTAGCTGCAAGTTACATCCGTATTAACTCGTAGAAAATTACGAATTAAATAAATTTTTTTATAAAATTTAATAAAAATTTTCTAAAAAGAAAATCTTCTCTTTAATAAACATGAAAAAAGAAACTCAATTCAGAAAGTGCGGCAGATAAAATAGCTTTTGCACCACCTACACGAGTACACGTATGAAAAATTTAATCCAACCAATACCTTAAATTTTGTATTTATACGTAAAATCTTTAATTTGATTTTTGGTTTTTTCTAGAACCAGAAATTTATATAAATTTTAAAATAAAAAACTCGGAGGAGTAAAGCGATGATAACAGTAACAACAAATCTGTAACTTTTCCACTAAATAAAATAATTTAATTTTTTCGTTCATTTTTCTTTTCCTTTGCTTTTAATTTTATTTTCTTCCCCCCTTTCATTATTTATTTTTATGCTTTTGAATTTAAATTTGTAAATAAGTTTTTTTATAAATATGCTTAGGTATATGTGATTGTAAACAATATATTAATATATATATGAATATGTATGTACCTGTTTATCAAGAGATTTTCTAGATGATGATTTTCCAACGGTAATTGCTGTTGCTAAATTTCCACAACTGTTATTTCTTAAATTTTTCTCACGTTCCAGTCTTATAAGGATTTGTGCGTTTTGTTCACATGTATAAGTATGCTTTTTCTTTTTTCTATCTAAACTGTATTGAAATAGTGGTCTATTAGGATCTGGTACAATTTCAGTTGAATCACCTGCATCACAACTACATAATGATTGATTGCTACGTCCTTTGCTACGTCTTAAAGAGCCACGATTTGAATTTGATGAAGATGATGTAGCTCTTGTAAAACTTCCATGATTGGAACTATTCATTTCATGTTGTTGTGTATGATTTGAAAAACTTGGCGATCGATGTCTATGCAAGTAATGCTCTTCTGTACAATTTGAAAATGTCACATTATTTGAACGTGATCCACCAGTATTACTGCTATTATTTCCACTAATTGAACTATTCTTTACAAACTGCATTGCTCCTGGTGGTTGATTTTTTGTTATAACAGCTACAGAATCAGAATAATGACTGCATATATCAAAATTATCTAAAGTTTGATCGATTTGATTTGAAAGAGAAGTTCCAGGTAATGCTCTTAAACCAGCATATCCAAATGAAGGCAAATTCATTGAATTATCTGCAGCATTACTTGAATTGAATACTTCTAAAGCACGACATTTTAAACCTCTATTATTTCTATTATTATTTCTTGTAGTTGTGGTATTGCGATTGTTATTAGAACCATTATTTCTATTTTTATTGGAAACTGAACTATTCGTTGTCCATGGTGTGCTAGCTATTGAATCTTGTAATGATGATTTTTGAGTTAAATTTGATGTGTGCGACTTTTGAACTGTTGCAAAATTATTTTCATTTGAAAATTTCTGATATGCAGCACGTGATTTTTGTTGTTCGTTCGATGAAGAATAATGTAAATTTTCTTTACTTTTTCGTTTTGATGGCGACAAATAGTACACTTCACAATAATTTAAAGTATCTCGATTATTTGTAATATTATTGGATATACTACTACCGGCTATTGTACTGCTACTTGAACCACTATTATTGGCAGTTTGATTATTTAGTTTTAAAAGTGGTGCACGAAATCCAGAATCAGAACGTAATGAGTATTCATTATTTGTTTTTGTTGTATCGAGATCATCACCACTGGATGTCACAACAGGATTAGATATTTGAAAACTAATGCCACTATCCTCTGAAAGTGATTTAGTTCGCTTAAATGATCGTCGCAGTTCATGCATATCGAGGAAAAACTATATTATTAAAGGATTTTTAAAGTTGAAATAAAACTGAAAAACAGTTTTAATAAATCATCTTAAGTTTAACACCTTCAATTAAATTCCTTAATCCAATATCTGTGTTGATGTACTTATGTAGGATATTGAAAATGAACTAAATTTCTTGAAAAAGAAATTTTTTTTTTGCTTGATGGCATTAGTTATATTACAGGTTCCTTCGATTGAAAAATTTTCAATGTCTAAAATAGAAAACAAAAAAAATTCAAATTTAGTAAAATTTTCTAATATATAAAAAAAAAAGTAAAAAATTGAAAGTAAAATCTGAAAGACTTTTCAATATGTGAAGAAAAACAAAAGAAAAATTTTAATTTTTTTTTTCTTAAAATGTTTTCCATAAAATTTTATGATAAATAGAATGTAAAATTTAAATTAAAATTCAATCATCCAACATACGAGTATCCTTGTCGTTATTTTAATTTTATTTTCGAGAGCCCTTAGAATAAATTTCTTTTGTTTTTTCTTAAATCCCCTTTTATTCATTTAGTGTATAGTATCACCATATACACATGCATTATATGATTATATGTAGTGAATAAGGAAAATATTTCAATAAATCCTTTTGAAATGTCTGAAATTGATTGGAATCCCAATAAAGAGGTCACTATAATATTGAAAACCCTTAACAGTCAATGATGTTTTTTCCATTTTAATCCTATCTTTTTTTCGAATTATGTACATACATACATACATATATGAAATAAAGGCTATAGTACAGAAATCCGGAAAAGAATTTAATTTAGAAAACAAAAATAAATCGAAAATAAAGCAAAAAAAAGTGTGATTTTAACGTCAAAAATTCGAATAAAAATTTTAATAAAAATTCAATACACTTAAAATTGTATATTAACTCTAAGGAAAATTCATTTAGCTTATACATGTTATGTAGTTATTTTAGTTGTTATAAGTAAAAGTCTCACACGTTTCAATTGATCAAGCAAGAATTTAATATTACTTAAGTCATATGTTACAGAAACGTAAACATATGTTTCAACATTGGGAAACAGTAAAATTTGTGAATAATAATATTTGTATATTTTATTCCACACAAGTTGGAGAAATAATAGTGTTATGGCGACAGCTTTAACAGCGAAAACAATAAATGAATAAAAAAATATAAATCAATGAATTTGCAAAAATTAAAAAAAATGTAAACCCACACTTACTATCGAGATAACTATTTTGTTTTTTTCTTCAATTATAAATGTTTACTGAAATTATGTGGAGTTGGGTATATATAAACAAATAGGTATATCGATAAGAGACTCGCACTTATTAAAAAAATAATTGGTTTCTTACAACTAGTTGACAAACGTTTTCTCGAAGTAAATCTTCATAATCAGATCATATACCCCATAAAATTCATTGTTGTTCTTAAACAAAAATTTAAGAAAATAATTTTTGCGGTTCTTTCACTTATATGGAATTATAACACCGCATCACTTTAAAAACGGATAAAAATAATTTTACTTATTACAAAAATCTTTAAAAACTATAATAACAATAAGATGAATATATTACCATATACTTGAACCTAAACTTTACATTCTAAAAGCTCTTCATATTTAATTTCAGTAGAGAAACGTATATAACCCATCCAATTATTTAAAAACATTCATGAAGTGAAGTTTTTAATGAAATATTCATTGTACAATTTTTATTTACTTGTATATAACAAAAAAAAATTATAATAGTTAACCTTATATACAATAAAATTCACATGTGTTATTTTTCACCATACCGAAAATGTTGTTGGTCATCTCATCTTATAAGAATAAATTTGTTAAAATATCGATGTATACTTAATACCCAAATACATAAATAATATTGGCTTGATTATTTGTCCAGTATATACAAATATGAATTAACATAGAAAAAATGTATTCATTATCTTCTCAATGGTAGTTAATAGTTAGACCTAGATAGAGCAATTTTATATAATTAATATACCTATTATGTTTTTATATCATTTATAATTCAATTGAGTCAAAAAGTTTTTCATTTCAATAATGAAACTTAGTGTGTATAACAAATAAAAAAAAAACACATACTTTATGAAATTACTGAGTTTTATTTGTTTCCTTTTTATTTAAAAATTTATGATAAAAAAATTTTATAATTATATTTGACATGATAATAACAATTTATACATGTATTATGTATATATAATAAAAAATCCACATTTAATTATATATATGAATGTTTCAAATACGAAAATGCTTAACAATTCTGAAAGGAAAAATTACAAAGTTATAAACCTAAAAATAATAAAAAACTGAAACTAAAAGGAAACTGGATGTGGATAATTTTTTTCTGTGATGAAACTTTTATTAGTTCATATTTGTATTATATGACAAATCATTTTAATAAAATATTAAATACACCATTTAAACCAAAATGATATTAAATCATGACTTACCCACATTTACACACCATACTTTACAAAATATCATATAGTTACTTTATTTTATGTTGTATTTTATTTACTTTCTTTTTTTTTTTATTAAATCTCAAAAAAAAAAACTTTCACTGTCAATTAAAATCATTCATATTTTATTTTGTTTTCCAGGAAAATGACGTACACATGCCAGAATATTTTATATTATGAGTATGTTCTTCATATTACATACACATATACAAGTTTATATAAGAAGTACTACAAAAGGATAATAATTATAAAAGCTAAATTTATTTAGAAATAAATTCTTTTTTTTTGTTTTTCAATTTTATATGGTGAGTTTTTTTATTCCGATTCATTTATCATAATATAAAATCTCATATGATGTAGAAACTAAAAAGTATTCCCGGTAACACTTTTATAACTTGAATCGCTTCAGTAGCACTTTTTAATAACACATTTTTTTACCTTTATTAATGTCATATTTTTTTTACTTCATTTTTTAAACAAAAACCAAAGCGGTTCCAACTCTTAACTCAAGCAAAATTTTAATTTATATTTGACTAAGCCTTGTAAGGAATCTTTCCAATTTTCTTTTCAATCTTTAATTTATTAATTTTATTTTTTAATTTATTGAATGAAGAAAGATTGATTTAGATACGAAAACATCTTTCATTTGAATTTTTTATTTTATTGGTTTTTAATAGCATATTTTAAGGAACTGGGTTTAAAATCTCATATAATTTTAGACAAGCTCCTGCCAATGAAAATATGAAAATGTTATAAACACCTCCAAGATTTGAAAATTTAAAAAAAAAAATAATTATTCTAAATTCTAAAATTTTTCAGTATATAATTATGTAATTTTTTGAATGAATAAAAATAATTTCCGGACTAAATGTAATTAACAAAAAATTTCATCATAAGTACATTTACATACATGTATGGTCATATAAATTATATACATAGTCAGTTAACCAAAACAAAAAAAGATTTTACAAAATATAGTTATCAATAATTAAAAGTAAAAAAAAAATTCTTTTCAATTTTGTATGTCTGTTAATTTGGTTTCCGCTCTCTTATTCTTAACAGATATTTTCTTATTTAATTTCTTCTTTAACATTATGTGACATACATTAATAAAACTCTTAAATTATAACATTAAATTTACTTTGTGCACAAACCATTTTAGGTAGTTATTTAAAAACGTGTGTAATTACAGTAAAAATGTTTTTCACCTCAGTTAATATTATAAGAGCGAAATGAAAAAAAATAAAAAAATTATAGCAATGCAGACATTTAGATATTATGTAATATCTTTAGATCATATACCATATTTTCTAAGCTACTTACTTTTACAGTATCATTTACATATTAAATTCTAATTAAGCTCTTCAGTATATTTAAATACAAAAACTATATATAATATTATCGATTTTAATAATATTAATATACAGTAGAATGACATTAATATGAACTAATAAATTATTGAATACACTGATTGTTCTGATATTTAGTCAAAAAGTTTGTAATATTTAATTATTAATTTAATTAATTAAATAACACATAATGTACACATATTAACAATGTTTTAATTTGTTTTTTGTTCAAATAAAATGAATTTTTTCTTATTTCAGAAAAATCAGTTTAAAATAATTTGTTCATACTTAAATATAATTAGTCATTATATGTAAGTATATGTATGTTAATTATAACTGCGAGTATACTATAATTAAAAAATTAATAATAAAGCACTAATCCTATAATATATTAGTGTCTATTTACTTCTTACATTTGTACAAGTAATAGATATAATTTTTGTATGAATCTATAATCTATGTAATATTAATTGTGTGTATCTATAATATGTACATTAAAATATATCTACACCAAAATATATCTACATTATATGTATGTATGATACATTTATGTTTTGATCAAAAAAAAATCCTTGCATTAAAAACAATTTTATCTTTTAATAAAATTAAAAAGGAAGAAATACAAAAATTTCAAGTTTCTTGCATTTAATTTTTTCGTACTTTTTAATCTATACAGAAAATACATACATATATAAAATTTTTGTTGTAGTACATATAAGCAAACTTCAATACACTATCTTTCACAGTTCCGAATAGTAGACTACATTTACTTCCTTCAATAAGTAAAAGTACTAAAAAACATGTTAAATGCAAAATTTCTTCTTAAAAAAAAAATTTTATGGTTTCTATAGTACCTACTTATTTCTTTCTATAATTCAACCATAGTGTAAAAAACAGGAAGTAAAAAAAAAAAGATTCATTTATGATGATGATTTGATAAATCCAACTATGAAGCATCACAAAGATTATTTTTTTTTATTTTTTGTGCAACCAGTTAAACTTTTTTAATTAAAACAAACTTTTTTATTATAATTACTAGAGCAAAATAAAGAAAAATGAAAAAATTCCAAAAACATAGATACTTTTTTCCTTTTTTTTTATATATACATACATACATTTTGCGTGGTAGTAGTAAAAATTTATAATTAATAGTAATTATATTAATTGTAAAAAAAATTTATCTTATTATGAAAATAGTAAATTAATGTTTTCAAATAATTTTATTTTCGCACAATTTTAAACATCCTTTTTCTGATGTTCGAATCCTTCTTTTTTTTGTGAAAAACAAGCCAAAGAAAAATATAAAACAATTTTTTTTTTCTATTGAATTTTTTTGTTAAATTTAATCTAATTTTTGCCAATATAAATTTAATCAATTGAACAAAAAATTTTAGTCAGCTTATAG